GTGGGACCTCCTGCTGGCGATCGTCTATCAAGAAAAGTTTTTTGATCCACTCTTTGCTTTTCCTGGGCATAAAGCAGCCATAGCCATGCCTAGGAGACTTGGAAAAGAAGTTGCACAACAAGTGGAAGTGGCTCCTGTGAGTCCAAGACATTCTGAAGGTGAAAATAGTCTGGAACACCTTCCGCCTATTTCTCCCTTGGCTGATCGCTCATATGGCAATCCCATTTATCGCAATGATGATGAGGAGAAAGTTGATTCTGCTGAGTCAAGCAATAAAATATCTCAAGAACTTCAGCAGATAAGGAGGCTGCAAGAAGAAGCTAATCAGAACATAAAGCGTAGTCTAGAAAGCTTTCTTCAAGCCCAACAACAACAGTCAGATCAGTTCACTCGATATATGAATACTATTGAAAGGGCCATCAATGAAAGTTCTCGAGCCATCCGAGAAGATGTAGCAGAAAGTCGCAGAACCTTCACTGCAGTTTCTGAGAGAACCATGGAACATGTTCGACAGCAGCAAAATGTTCCAAGGCAACCCGTACCTCCAGTAATGGAATTGCCACAGCAAAATCTTCCAGATCCTTTGCCCGGGGGGCACGGGGGGCATATTAATCAGCCACAGGTGGTGCAGCAAATGCCCAATGCTCAAAATAATGCTCTTGGTGCTGGCCAGGTGCAGTTTAATAGGCAGCAGCAAAACAATCCTGCTGGTGGCATCCTTGGACCACAAGATCCTGTGGAAGCAGCATTCTGTGCAGCTGAGCAGTTCAATGCCAATCAACAAAGATATGTACCCCCTGCACGGCGTCCAAATGCTGTCCCACAGCCCAATTTGCAGAATAATGTTTTTCAACCACTAGGGCTACAAGCAGCAGCTCCTCCCTTGGATAGAAATCAACTGATTGATCTAGTCCAAGAGACATATGGTCCAACTCTGAGACCATTGGTTCGTCCTTCCTATCACAAGCCGTATCCAAATTACATAGATCGGGATAATCCATTTCCTCGTGGATTCAAAGTGCCTGAATTTACTTTGTTTTCTGGGGACGCAAGCCAGTCAACCATTGGACACATTGGTAGGTTCACTATTCAATGTGGGGAGGCATCGGGTGATGATTTTTTGAAGTTGAGACTCTTCCCGAGTTCTTTAACGGGTACTGCATTGACATGGTACCTAAGTCTGCCGCAAAATTCTGTATTTGCTTGGAGACAAATGGAAGATTTGTTTCATATTCAATTCTACCGTTCAGAGCCTGAGATATCCATGGCTGATCTTTCTAGACTAACTCAACGGCCAGGGGAATCTTCTGAAAATTATCTTATGCGGTTTAGAAAAGCCCGGATGAAGTGTCATGTTGCCTTACCAGAGCAAGAGTTCGTGAAGCTTGCTCAGAATGGTTTAGACATTGAACTTCGAAA